GGGGAGGAAATAGGAGCTCACCCTGTTTAGCGCAAAGGCTGGACTCGAACCGCCGAAGCGTCAGCCATTTCTGGCCGTTATGAGATTTCAGATTTCTGCCTCATTTCCAAAACAGCCAATCACCACTCACCTATCAGGCCTTGCTGCCAGCCGATTGGGTACTGGGGATAGAGGGAGGTGGGAAAGAGGTGGATACACCCATGAACATCATGTGACTTGGGCTGACCATGGCAGTGCGGCAGCACAGCAGTGCTAAGCAGCCAAAAATTTCCCAAATTTCAGTCCCATGGAAGTAACAGGTCCTGAATTTTGGACGCATTCTGTAAGTTAGCCCATTTGAGGTACCTTGGTTCAAAAATTGTTGCCCTATGACTCATCGTTTCACCCAGTTGAAGGTTACAGACACAAGAGTTTTAATAGTATATAGATCCTTTCAGAGCTAGTGCTAGTTAATATAGGTAAATATTAGCGATCTAATCTAAATACTATACATCTTTACACAGTGCATAATTAACCTCAGGAATTCATTAGCACAAGGCATAGTGACGGCTGCTACCTTGGATGGCTTTAAAGGGGAGTTGAGGTCTTTATGAGGTCTGTATTATGAGGTCTTACCAAAGGTTTTGAAGAATTGGGGTTACCTCTAGGTTGAAGGTGGCATGCTTCCAATAGTTTGTGCAAGGAACAACAGTGACTGCAAGCATCCCAGAGGTTGGACACCATGAGAAACCAAATGCTAGATGGTCTTAGGTCTTGGCTTAGGTTTTTATTTGAGTATGACTTCACTGTCTTTGTTCCTAAACAATTGGTTAAGGAAGTTCTGCTGGTAGTTTTAAGCAAGTAGAAGAATTCTTCTGCTCAGACTCTAGGAATTATGCTATTTTAAGCATTTATTTCATAACAGCATTTTGTGCAAACTTTTTTCCCTGAAATCTGTAATTAAATTTCAAAACCTTGGGTTAAAACCGAAATGTAGTTTGTGGGTCTGTGAGATAACTGCTTTGGCATGAACTGAAAAACAAATGCTTCAGACTCTTGCGTGATAGATTGTGTTTAATCCTTAGATGCAGTGATTTATAATCTTCATTGTTCCTATGAAGCACAAGAATCATTCTTGCCTACAAAAATCCACTATTTAAATCAAAACAGAATTGTAATCTGACAGAAGGGGAATTGCTTGGTGTTACTAGCCAGCCATTGGAATACTTAAGCACAGAGTGCTAGAGGACCCTCTCAAGATCTGTGATCCAGTTCTTCAACCTCATCCCTTTGGCTTGCAATCTGCTTCCTGCTCAGTTAAATATTAAGCCAGAGCCTCTAGGAAGATGGGTGAAACATTAAACCTCAAGAACAATTCATTCTTGAGGAAGAATGATAGTAAATATTTTCTTTCTTTTTTGGGTATTTGTCAAAAACATAGGCTTATCTTACTGCCCGCTGTCACTACCATGACTGTGTAATGAAGCTATACAAATATTCTATCCTGTCCTCTGAGAAAAGATATTGGACTAAGGATGATATATCTGATGCTGTTTGAATCATGAACAGAGTTCAGGCTGGGCAGGCTTTAGATTTATGGAATCTACTTTGTGTTTCACTGCAGCCCTGATATCCATCAACTGAGGTCAGGATGCAGATTTTGCAGATTACTTAGAAATTGTCAGTAGATCCTCAATATACTTTCTACTGAGATGATAATGGGCTTAAAATTTGTAGCCTCATTGCCTGCCTGGAGCTAACCTGAATCAAAGGAGTTGCCAACTGTTCTGGGTTAGTGGGCACATTTAGCTTATTGAGAGATTGTAGTAGATGCCATGGAGGGCAGGCCAGTCCCAAAATATCTTCATAATAAAGTTGCTCTTCATCCTCTTCATAATCCTCTCCATTAACTTGGCTTAACTATGTCTTTTGTTTTAGGCAGGAAGCCAGAAAAAGCATTGGGCTGCAAACTATATTTTTTATTTTCTAAGAAAGCCTCCATGTCATATTTATTCTTAGAAATAAAGGTTATGCTTGAGACTGGTGCTTGGCTTTGCAGTGTACTATCTTTCCTTATAATTTTAGTTAAGTAATTGGAAATAAAATCAGATGGATATGGAGATTTGACAGATGCCAAGAAATGAGTTTATGGTCACGTTGATGTCCCCGTGCACACATTGGAAATCCAAGCTCCTGACTGTGATTCATTATAGAAGACTAAATACCTTCTTTCACGCATAAACTTGACACTTAGTGGTTGTTTGAATGGCAATTCTCTTTTCCTCCTTTCAGATAGTAAAGCTATTGTTGATGGAAACTTGAAGCTAATCCTAGGGTTAGTATGGACCCTTATCCTCCATTATTCAATCTCTATGCCGGTGTGGGAAGATGAAGGAGATGATGATGCCAAGAAACAAACACCTAAACAGAGACTCTTGGGATGGATTCAGAACAAAATTCCATATCTCCCAATAACAAACTTCAACCAAAATTGGCAAGATGGCAAAGCACTAGGTGCCCTGGTTGACAGCTGTGCTCCAGGTAAGCCTCCTGCGATCTTTCCTTTTACATTGCCTAGAGCAATAACCCAGAGCTTTGGACATGAATACAGTAACCTTTTTGTATCCTGCACTTGCATTCAGTATTTTGTAGGGTGGGAGCTGTGGGTGACATTGGGTAGTGCTATGTGAGCAGAAATGTTTTGTGCAGAGTGTTGGTGTTTGACTTCACAGATTTTTTTTTAAAAGGGAGACAGTTTTAGGATGTACACAACTGTTTGATTTTTCTGTCCCAAAATAATAGGGAACCATCCTGTCGATGTTTGACAGCTGGGTTTGGAAGGTTCTTTGGGGACCACCATAAATAAATAAATAAACAAACAAACAAATAAATAAATAAAGCTTGAGAGTTACATATGGTCCTGGAATGAGACTCCAGAGCTTGTTTTAACTGTGATGTAAATTGTATTCCTTACTAAGCTTGATAAGAGCTACAGCAATTAGTGGCTGTACTGGTTGCCACCAAAATCAGAATTTCTTGCAAACCAGCCAACTTTGGAATTTTTAGACTTGTTATATGCATTGTCAAAGCAATTCTTCCCCCGACCCCAAAGTGGGGTGGGTGGGTTTTGGGCTTTGGTCTGTAACTGAAAACTTTGGCTGCCAACCTCCACTTTCTAGTTTAGGATGAAGTATTGTTCATGCTTCTTTAACGACAGAGATTTAACTTTTCCCTAATTCCTATCTTCAGGTCTCTGCCCAGACTGGGAAAGTTGGGATCCTAAGAAGCCTGTTAATAATGCTCGTGAAGCTATGCAGCAAGCAGATGACTGGTTAGGTGTCCCTCAGGTATGGAGAAGGGAGAGGCTTCAGTATATCCAAGGTGTAGCCTATAAACAGAACAGCCACAGTTGATTAATGTTTAGGAACAATATCTGTCAGAATATGGAATGTGACTAATCCAGTAATGTGTTTGTGCAAATAATGTGCTTCCTGCATGAAATAGAAGTGGCTACTCTGTGAAAGCTTCTTTTGATGATTGAAAAATGAAGCCTCCGAATTCAAATATAATCAAATTTTTCTTTCACAAATAGTACCTGTTCCATTTTTAACTGACATTTCATTTTGGCTTTGTCAAAAATTCAGATTGATTATGTTCTTAAAAGGGTTCAGTTGCATCACAGCATATCAATCTTAATACCTACAGAGCTGCCCAAATTCTTTCTGTTGTTGAAATCTGGCCCTGATGACTGGAAATGTTGGCGCTGTAATCCAACATGTCTAAATGGCACCTGGATGAGATGTACAAGCAGGTTAAAGGCTCTCTATGTTCTTATATGCATTTCAGAACATGCCGTTTATAGATGACTTTTTCTGGGAGGAAGGGAGCTATCTGAAGAAGATGATAGACTTAACATATGTGGAAACCAGCAGAATATTACATTGAACTTCCTCAAGCAATGGGTTATTAGAAACGTATAATGCTAAAACTTACTAAATTTTCCTTTTGGCTGCAGTAATAGTATTATTTTGTCGGTAGATTAGAACATGATGTACCTTTTTGAAAAGGCTACTTGCTCTTATTAATGCTTTCTGTTAACTGTAGTCCCAAACCTAGGCAAACAGTTAAAAGGACAGGAATGTCAGCAAAGAAGGTGAAGGCACATTTGACACTGTCCTGTAATGGTTTTCTAGGTCATCACTCCTGAAGAAATCATACATCCTGATGTGGATGAACACTCTGTAATGACCTATTTGTCACAGTTCCCCAAAGCAAAGCTGAAACCAGGTGCTCCTTTGAAACCTAAACTTAATCCAAAAAAGGCAAGAGCATATGGCAAAGGTAAGGTCTTAAGTAACCTGGCTTGGGTCCCAGGCCGGGGTTAATGTACTGTTGTTTTTGGGGGCCCTATTTTGTTTTGTTTGATATGTGTCATTGTTTGTTTTACTTGAGGCTGTCTGTGTGGTTTTAGGTTTTATCTCTTTTTTATGGATTTTTTTTTTTTTGGTTTGGTGCACTGCCCAAAGTTCATTGGAGTTGGTTGGCCATAATAAATTTAAATAATAAATATATAACACTTTGGTATATTTATAATTCTGATGGAAAAGCTAGTTGCTTCTTGCTATGCAGCCAAGCGTCCATATTTCACTGCGTTCATTTGGTGCGCTGCTAACATTCAGAAATGTGGAAATTGTCCAAAAGCCACTCCTACTTTCATATGAATTCCCCAATCCTGTGAGAACCAGTTCAGCAAGGCGTTTTTTTTTTTTTTTTTTTTTATGTATCTGTAATATTTCTCTGCACCATATTCCTGAGCAGTTTATTGTCCATGCCCCTAGACCTTTATATTCCATCACTGTCAGGTAGATGTAACTAGCTTGAAAAAGTAATTGAAAACATGGAAACAGTTAAATCACAGATATTACTTGAAGCAAGATCACATCACCCTATGGAAAGCTTTTCTTAAAATATACACACACATACGCAGTGCTGGGAAAATGTATAATATAAGCTGGTTTTAAGTAAATTTGCTGGACTTTTTTTAAATCTAGGGGAGCTCCTGGACTGATTCAGCTTTCCATCAACTGATCTTTTGGGTGGTTTGTTTGGAGGATCATTTAAATCCTCAAAACAATGGAAAGAATAGTGGACAAAGGTCTCACTGGAGAAAAACAAGATTTCTTGAAGATAGAGTAATTCCAAGATAATGGAAACATGTCTGCTTTCAGAAACAAAGCTATCAGAATCTGTGGGTGTTAGGAGCATGTCAACTTCAAATTATATTAATATTTTCAGCAGTCATTCTTGTGCTAGTTATGCTCTATCTTTTGTATTTATGCACACTAAAGAGTGTGTAGGAGAGAGCTGTATAATATTTGTTTTTATAAAATTCATAGATATATGAGGGAGAAGAAAACATTAGAACAATGGGGATTACTGGTTCAGGAGTAAAGGAACATTGCAAGGCCAGGTTTATGGGACTGCTGGTCACTATCTTGGATGATTTAAGGAAACTTAAATCACATCCATAAATTTATCTGCCAGTGGTGGTTAGTTATAATTTAATTCAGTGTTAAGTCTGAGAACATATCAAGATTTAGTAAATGAATACCTTTATACCTTCTGAGCATGGTTTTCTATGTGTTTACAGGAATTGAACCTCAAGGAAATATGGTCAAGCAACCTGCCAACTTCACAGTCGATACTATAAGTGCTGGTCAAGGTGAAGTAATGGTTTTTGTAGAAGATCCAGAAGGAAACAGAGAAGAGGTATGCATATTGAGAGGTCTTGGGTAGAATGGACAATTACTTAGGGCTGTTCTCTCATAATTGAAAATGATACTCTTGCATGAGTGTCCTCATTTAGAATGAATTTCATGGGACCGCAGTTTGACAAATATAGCACATACATAAGCACTGGAATCCATTCCTTGGCATCTCCAGTTTAGAAGTTCAGGTACTAAGCTAATTATTCATTCAGTTTTTATACCAGTTTTCTGTTCAACTGATTATTAGAGCAGCTAAACAATTAGAGTACAATATATCAAAAATAGAGGAAGATGCAGTAACTCAGTATGAAAATTAACAATTAAAATAATGGAAAAAGAGATGCTTTGGCTGTTCTTCTAAAGGCAGAGAGACTGGGGACTGAATGCATCTCCCAAAGACTGCCCTTGACATCCTGTGAGTTTTGCAGGGAAAGTTGATTGATCACAGCCTTTTCCATGTACTAAACAAACTATAGGGACATTTTCAGCTATTGATTTTAACCTCTAGACATGTTCTATAATGTAAGAGGTTTTTGTTCAGACAGTTAGGTCCTAAGCCATTTAGGTTTTAAAATAGGAGGGCTAACTTCCTTTGTTACCCTTTTGCTGGTAGGCAAAATCATATTTATTTAGATAGACTTTTGATGTGTAGATTGACTTGTCTGCTAAGGGGAGTTACATACTCTTTATTGGTGGATTTAAAATTCCATTAGGTTTGATTTGCATGTTTGATTATAATTCTGTTACTTTTATTAGCTGCTCTGAGCAGCATTTTTGGTGGAATTTGGAGTATAAATCCAGTAAATAAATTTTGCAGTGCTGTTGCATTACAAGGACAGTATTACGTTTCCTAACTAGGAACTTAAGAGTGGCTATTTTATGGCTGTCTTCTGTAATGCTGCACTAACAAGAAACTGTAAGAAACAAACTTTTCTTGTGGAGGAGCATTTTTCCCCAGATGCTATTTTAAGCTTAGATGCCAGGAAATGATTGGAAATTCTTAGTGAAAATATTGGGGTAATGTTCTTTTTTAGGCCAAAGTGACGCCTGACAATGACAAGAACAAGACATTTGCTGTTCAATACCTGCCAAAAGTTACAGGTCTTCACAAGGTAAGACAGTCTGACGATTTTATGTGTGGGGAAGAGAACTAGAACTGAACTGAGAAATGCTTTTGTAAACGTAGGATTGTAGTATCTTCAGACTAGGGTAGCTACAGCAATAGTTGTCATTGTTCACAACAACTCCATCTTCTACAGTATACATTTGCCACCCCAGCATTCTGATTGTTTGATCTACCAATTCTTATGAAGCATCTCATGGAGGCAAAAATCTCGTACTTTTGGGGCTTCCTGAAATTTGGTCCAAATAAATTGTGAAGAGTTTGGATTTGTTTAGATTCACCTCACCCACTTAATTTAACCTGACTGATGAGGGAAAAAATTCTCCAATCAGTCAAGTAAAACTCACTTTTTGCACTAGTTTTCTATAAAATTTGAAGTGTATATTTTCCATTGCGTTAAATCAAAGAGGTTTCAGATTGCTAGTCTCTGTCTGGAATGAAGAAAGTATCTTTAGGGACTTTTGGTGACTCCTAGGCAAAAACTGTCAATCTTGATATAGGTTTTGCAGTGCTTCAGATCCATACCCAAAAATCTGCTTTGGAGGAGGCATGGGTGTGCATTGCATCTGTTAATTCATCCTTGAAGAAGTGGTGTCTTTGCCCAGGATTACATTGTAGCCATGTGATCCCAAGAAAATGCACATTTGAGTTAAGGAGCCTCCAGCAGCATCCCTATGCCCACTCCAAAGCACCATGTTGCTGCTTCCTTAACTCAGTTATTTTCCTCCCAGTGGTGACCATTCTACTGACGACAATCACCCTCCAGAGGCAAAGTTTTCATTATCTTTCTAAAAGACAGGAGAACGGGCATCAGCCAAACCTCAGGGAGGAGGCTCTTCTAAGCAGAAGGGGCCTCAGCAGAGAAACACTGTCTCCCACCTCCTCCCCACTAGCCTCTTGAATGTCTTAAACATGTCTTCTCAAGATAAGCAATCTGGATGGGCTGGTTCTACTGGAAAGAGATGGTTTTGAAGATACTCATATGCTGTATGACTGTAGCAACTTTCAGTGGCCTGGAGGTGGGCTGTCACATTTTGCATCAATTCTACAAATATAGCCCTATGTAAATGCATTGCAGTAGTCTCTGGTATCTAATGCGAATACTGTTACTTTATTTTTTAGGTTACAGTTCTGTTTGCTGGCCAGCATATTTCAAAGAGTCCCTTTGAAGTAAATGTTGATAAAGCCCAGGGAGATGCCAGTAAAGTAACAGCCAAAGGTCCAGGCTTGGAAATAACAGGAAATATAGCTAATAAATCTACTTACTTTGACATTTACACAGCAGGTAAGATGGGCTAAACAAAATTGTAGGTTTTTTTTACTGTATATAATGCAACACTGTAGTAAGCTGTAGTAGACTGAGATTGCTTGGTCTCTGAACCTTTCGCGTTGCACATTTGAAGATGATACAGCCAAGATTTTCGTGGAAATTAAAATTCTATCCTAACAAATTAGATACAGTTAATAAGGCTGTTCACTATTTACTTAATACGGTCACACTGAAAACTACAGTTTGGCAGAACATTTGCAGGGGACCTGGAGAAGATAGCCAGGGGTTTAGAGGTCATGGATTCTGCATTCTACTTTAAATTAAACATTTTATCTAAACCTTTCACCAGAAAATCACAGGTAAAAAATGGCAAACTAGCTAATTTTTGGATTAGTTTCCTTCTCTACATGGACCTAGTATACATTGGTGCTATACCATTTTCCTTTTTTTTTTTATTATAATTACATATTATAGGATTTTTATTGAAACTTTTACGTAGATAAATAAACATGAAAATATATAAAGAAAAGTTAGAAAAAACAAGATAAAAGAAAAAGTGCAAAAAAGCAATACAGTTAGAAAAAGAAAAAAGATAAAGAAACAACTTCTGATCTTTTTTGCAGAAGCTACAAACTTACTATCTTTAAGATTACATTACAAAGACTCTTTCTGTCCCATATTCAACTCCTTTTTTCAGTCAGTAAATCCAGAAATCACCATTTCACTTTTTTCCATTTTCAGCAAAAAGTCCATAAGGGGTTTCCAGTCTTTTATAAAAGTACTTATTGTTGTATCCCTGATCAGGCAGGTCAGTTTTGCCATTTCTGCTAATTCTGCCATCTTTACAATCTGTTCCTCCATTGGGAGTAGCCATTTTCTTTTGAATTGCATCAACCATTGTTGACTCGGCTAATGTTGCTCCACAGACTGCCAGATGATGAGGTAGCTAGGTGTGGGGTTTTGTTGCTGATGAACTTTGCATGGAAACTTAATTTGTAGTTACCTTTCCTTTGCTAAAGATATCAAAGATTTCCCAATGAGGGTGCATGTCTTGTAAGGCTGTGTTGCAAACTCTTTTTGGCCTAAATGATTTTAGAAATACCTAGTTGAAAAAAGCTAGGATTTTATCTTTTTTAAAGAAAATCCTAACTTTTTTGTCTCAGATATTAGAGTCGGAGGAAGCATTTTTCAACTCTGCCAATTTGATTCTTATTTTCAGATTTCACAGCTTTAGCCAAATACTGTGTTGAAAAATTGCAATAAAATCAGATTCCCCTGATGGCAAAATTGCATCATATTAAGATCCTGTTAATCCTGTAAAGCTTTTCTCCTCTTTATTAATATCCAATTTTGTTATACTACGCATTTCCCTTGTCCCTGCTACATATTGGCCTCTAGCCATTCTGAAAAGATTAACTATGGAAGCTAAATTTTGAGCTTATCTCTTCTCTCTTCTAGGTGCTGGTGTTGGTGAGATAGGTGTAGAGGTTGAAGATCCTCAAGGAACAAACATTGCTGAGGTTATGGTAGAAGACAAAGGGAATCAAGTTTATCGCTGTGTTTATAAGCCTCTTCAAGCTGGTCCTCACACTGTAAAAGTTGTATTTGCTGGAGAGCATGTTCCAAAAAGTCCTTGGGGTATTCTTGTTGGTGAAGGTATGTGTTAGAAATGGAGGTATTATTATTTGCATATTACCATTTATATAAATAATGTTTTTTTAAAAAAAGTTACAAATGTAAAGTTAGATGCTTTTAAATATAGCAGTGTTCTGGCTAGGTAAAGGGTGATTAAATTCATCCTTGAAAACCCTTTAAAATACTAAATTTGATTTTTACGCTACTAACTAAATGTAATTGGTCTGCCATTCTAAATGGTCATATTTTTCTTTTTGCCACTTCTGCAGTAGAATACCTTCTTGCTATATTTCTAAACCAACTATATTTTCTTTATTTTTGTATCATAACTCTTTTTCTCCCCTTCTGAACTGATACTGGCTTTCTATTCCATCCTTGCCTACTCCTGTGCTTTCAGACCTCTGCTCCCTTCTCCTGAGCCACTCTCAATTTGTGGGATGTTGGACTTCACTGCTATTGACTTCATAGTTGGGCAAGCTCTGTCGGTAAGATGTGTTCAGGGTGACCGTGTATGTGTTGCCTTTTTTCTCCCTGGAGACCTATTTTGCAAGTTAGCAATTTAAAGATATTGTTCAGAAATGTTGCAAGCAGTTTCTCAGACTTAGGGAGTATCTGCAAAGCAGTCTTGCAGGATGTTAGACTGCCTTACCACAAGTAAGCAACTTGGTTGCAGGAGACTTGAAAGTAGAAAATTGTCAATTGGACTCAAACTTCAGCTTGCTGTTCGTATCTTCATTTTGCTAGAGTGAGCAGACAGCTAATGCACATAGAAAAATGTTTAGGGAAAGTGAAGTGCTGTACATGCATGGACAGAGCAGTTGCTGTGGAGTAAACTATTACACCTTCAAAGAAATGGACTGATTGCAGAATGATATGTGCTGAATTGAGCTATTGCAGGATGCCTGGGATATGTTTAGAAGAGCTGCAATATCATGGTTAGACAATTGCTGATAAGCAAGTTCATAACTTAAGCCAGAGAGAAGCAGTATAGTGCCTGCCAGATTCTTTGTCTCCTGATTTTTTAATTGTTTGTTTTAAATAAAAATAATAAATAAATGGGAAGCTGGCATGTTCTGCAAGCAATGAATCAGCTTTTAGCTGTGGCTTTTTGGGGCATTCTTACAAGAAGTAAAAATGGTTGTTAACTGCAGCCAAGTACTATGTTTAGAAGTATGCACACCTACCTAGGAAAAAGTAACCTGGAGTACCAGAAAACATCTTGGGATCAAGAAGAGTTTACCGGGAATAATCTCATCTATTTAGGAGTTTTGTGGGCAGCCATGCATCCATCGTAATCATGTACCAGACAAGCCTTTCCCATGGAACTGCTTTGTTGGAACATCTGTCATATGTCCTCAACATCTTAAATGTGCCCCCTGTCCTAAAATGCCCCTGGGTTGGTCTCTTCTAAGCTGGCTTCCATCTCCCCTAAAGTTTCTGTCTGCTGTTAACTGTTCCACTATATCTAGGGATATTTGAAGCGCATTTTGCATGTTTCTTTCCCACCTCATTATGTTTCCTGTTTCAAACCCATCTCTGGTGTGCTTGTCTGGATTAGTTGGTTAATGTCACTTGATTCACGTTCTAATAAATCATGCATCTACAATGATTGCCTGTTCTTCAGCATGGCATATAGGGACAATATCAAAATCAGCACAGCGAGCCATCTCCAAATTCAAGATGCAGTGTCTGTATGGAACTCTTTTACTCTGTTGTGCTTTCTTTCTTCTCTTCTTCCTCTCCTCCTCCAGCACACTTGAAACTGCTTCTGAAAATTTGTTTAACCTAGAAAGCTTCATGTCTTCTAAGTTTGGAGCTTTGGAAATGAGAATCTTTGGTTACCTTTTACTGTTTTCAAATCCAAAGCTGTTCTGCAGCAACCATTGACAAAAGGCTTATTAATACGCAGTTTATTTGTGTTTGTACAAAGTAAAGGCTTTAACCAAGAACAGTCTTGCTTCTTAAGACTACAAAATGGCATTCAGGTTTTGCATTTCATGTAAAATCTTATCCATCTAAAAGGAAGCTGAGAGAAGCTGTTCCAGCCTGGCTTGGTTAAACTAAATATCTTTAGGAATCAAAGACTGCATTCATGTCTGTCTGCAATTTGCTTGCAGCCTGCAATCCAAATGCCTGCCGTGCCAGTGGTAGGGGCCTCCAACCCAAAGGAGTTAGGATCAGAGAAACCGCATACTTCAAGGTTGATACTAAAGCCGCAGGGAGTGGAGATATCCATGTGGCAATAAAAGGACCAAGTAAGTGTTGAGCATTTTTTTTTTTTGGCATTGCTTGGACATTGATATGAATCTTTTGCAAATAGCTCCAATCAGGCACTGATTCTGCTATCTGCATGTTGACTTTGCTTCTCAAGAGAACTCTGGAGGTGAAATAGAGCTTTGATTTTCACAGAGGTATCTATTTAATATATGGATAGAAGCATGAAAACACTAATTTCACTTAAAATAATATATTGTTTACTTGCTCATATAGAATTAACTTGGACTGCATAATCCCTGTGTAAATTTGTAATCTTTGATATGGAATCATATATTTAATGAGGCTCTTGGTCAAAATATGTGTGCAGGAAAATCCTTATTTGATGACAAGACTAAACTTCTATGAAAACATAGCTTGGAAAACACCAAAACCCTGATACACAAAATGGGAAGGACAGACTTTCAGCCAAAGTTCTATTTTCTAACTGATAGGAGAGAAGCTACATTCTCTCTCAAACTTCCCTGCATATAGACCAAATCACATTACATGAATCGACTTTTGGTGGGGTCGCTCAACTTTTTTGAAAGGGACGTCTTATGGAAAAGTTGATAACCTGCAAGGTTTATTCCAGGTAGGAATATTAACAGGAAAGATTTGCGTTACAGGCCTGACTTGCTATATGTAGCCAACCTGTTTAGCTGTGTGAAAATTGTAGTCTTGAAGTAGCTTTCACATGCTTTAGTGCAACTGGTGTGATCATATCAGGTTTTCAAAGCAGTCATTATTTTCCTTGTCTATAGATTAATGGCAAAAATAAGTGAAACATACAAACTCAGAACATTACACTCTATATATTCCTGTAAAGTTGGAATGGGAAACCCCAAACTAATTAGGGTCTTTAAATTGAAACACCATGATTTTTTCCCCTTTAGCTTAACAAAAGTACATCAGTGTGGAAATCACAATGAACTGGAAGATCATGTATGTGGCAGTCAACTCTTCAATTCTGGGAACACAGCCTGGCTTGAAAGGGATGCTAGATTTCTGGCCTCCAAATCAAACAAATGGCATTCCATCTCAGTGTCATACAAATTAGTATGGATTTTGGGGAGCCTTTGACAAAATGAGTTGTAATGTTTATATGATGCTACTTGAGCATTAGCTAGAAAATGTTGCCAACTGTGCAGTATTAAAGACAATAGGCTTGTGTCAACAAACTTCAGAATATTTAGACTCTCTCAAGAAAACTAAATCAAGTAGGCATTCCCCAAATATTTGTGGTCATGAGGTCTGACAAAGCTTAAGCTTTCCTTGTTTTCACATATGACATGCATAATGTTGCAGACTAAGGAATAACATGGGGAAGTGAATTAAGCATGGTAATGTAACACTTTCACTCATCACATTCTTCTGGAAATGTTTATGCTATCTTTATTACATGACTAAAGGTAGTTTCTCCTCTTTGCAACAATTTCTGGATGAAAAGAAAAAAAATGACTTCATTCTTGGCAATTGATCTTGAAACATACAATCACCTAAAACTAAAGAATATGGGCTGCAGTTATTAAAGGCTAATGCTAGATTAATGGTATTTCTTCAGAAGGCTTGGAGGAACTTGTAAAACAAAAGGAATTCATGGATGGAGTATATGCATTTGAATACTACCCAGTAACTCCAGGGAAATACATTGTCACAATTTCTTGGGGTGGTCACAACATCCCAAAAAGGTGAGCTGCAACATTTTATATGTTTTAACTGAAAGCGATTCCACAATAAATTGTTTTGAAATTGTATTCGTTGGAAGTATACTGAGGGGTTAGTGGTGACAGTTTTAGTTTTTAGTTCCAAGCTTTACTGCAGGATAGAGGTGTATCCTGTCTTTCCAGTCTAGGAAACTTTGGTAACAGGTTCTAAGAAACAATAACAAAGACAAGACTTGGAGCAGAAAGACATTTAGCACATCAAATCCCCAATTTAATTTTTGTTAATCCTCCTTTTCTTGAAAATACTGATGGCTGTCTACATGGTTTTTCTTTATATTTTATCTTCACTCCTCGGTGAGGTGCCTTAGGTATGGAATTAGAGACTAGCCTTAAGTTGTTTGGTAAGCTTTTTGATTACCTTTTGGTTGTACTTGGATCTCCTTAGTTCCAGTATGTTATTGACCATTCTATCTCAGTTAACAGATTATTAAATATATTTGTGTCCATGGTTGTTGTCTCTTTCTTTTTCTTAATTCTGCTTTCTGGTCGTCTTCTCCTAGCCCATTTGAGGTGCAAGTAGGTCCTGAAGCTGGTCCTCAGAAAGTAAGAGCTTGGGGGCCAGGCCTTCATGAAGGAGTTGTTGGTAAATCAGCAGACTTTGTTGTAGAATCCATCGGTCCGGAAGTTGGATCCCTAGGTAATAACCTGGCTCATTGCACTGCTTCCTTCCAAAACAGATGTTGCTTGATAGATGATGTCTAATTATTTCAATGGCAAGACTTTCCTGCCGTGGAACTAATGGGCTGACTCTTATCTTCTAACCATATTTAAAAGGAATTGGCTTTGCAGACTACTTTTGATGACAATTATAAGTCTATATCCTATTTTCATCTGAGAGAGATTAGCAGTAAATAATGTCCAATCCCTTTTTTTTTTCAGGGTTATCAACCTAATAACGTTATTAGCCTTGCCTTTAAACAGGCTCTAATATTATAATGGGTGGGAAAGAACATCCTAACAAAAATGATAGGAAATTTTAATGCTTAGCACTGTGGATTACAGATATGGAATTACAGTACAGCGCATGGATTAAATGGATTCCTATATCACAGTAGACTGTGGTTTGTTGACTCAGCCTAAGTGGCTGGGATCACACAAAATCGTAAGCCATAAGTGATGGTTTACAAATTACAGTGTTACATCATGCAAAACCTAAACTAAGCAAACTACATTATCACTAGGTACAATCTGTTAACCCAGCTACTGAATGCATGTAGACATTGGCTGAAACAAAAATTTTGACAGATTGCTGTTGTAGATTGGAAAATAGGGTTTGGACAGATAACCAAGCTCATTTATTTTGTTAGACTGGATTTACATGTTATTCTAAAATATAATATTATTTTCTTGTCTATGATTAATGGATTGTGTGATCATAGTCAATTGTTGTTTATTCAGCAGACCTTGTTAATTACATTGTAGCTTAGTACATAGCCTTAAAAATCCTACCTAAATTTAAGTGCCTCTAACAACTGCTAAACTCCTTTTTTCAGGCTTTGCCATTGAAGGCCCATCTCAAGCAAAAATTGAATGTGATGATCAGAATGATGGCTCATGTGATGTGAAATATTGGCCCAAAGAGCCTGGTGAATATGCTGTTCACATTATGTGTGATGATGAAGACATCAAAGACAGCCCCTACATGGCATTCATCCAGCCGGCATCTCTAGACTTCGACTCTGACAAGGCAAGGGTACAAGGAGATGATGATGATGATGATGATGATGATTCTGCCTTTTTTATATATAACTCAAAGTGGCGAACATGCCTAATAATCCTGCCTCCTATGAGGTGGGTTGGGCTGAGAGTGAGTGACTGGCCCAAAGTCACCCAGCCGGCTTGGATGCCCAAGGGAGGCCCAGAACTCATAGTCTCCTGGTTCTTTTGAAAATTTAAGATTTGGAAATTGTGAGATTTTGGTCAATGTTGGGGGTTGGAGGTATTGCATAAGATTAGGCCTGAGGCCTGAGCAGCTTGCCAACCACTATATTGTTAAATTCAGGATTGGGCCTTGACCCTAAATGAGGACAATCTGTGTTACAGGCTAAATTAAGGGACATTTCATAATATTTCTGTTTTTGTTTCTGCCTCATCTAGGCCAGTATGTCAATAACAGATACAAGTCTGTCCCAGGTTAGCTTCAGAAATGTAATCCTTGAGAAATGTCTTTGATGGAAGATTCTATAAATAGATATACTTATGCTTGATTTGCATTGTAAGGTGCTCTCTTGAACATTTAATAAAAGCATACTTCTTTTTAATACTTATGCTGATCAGACAAGCTGTTTGACTGGATGTGAAGAGCAAACCTGGGACTATGCAGTTTTAGTAGTACAACGGTCTGTAAAGGCATCTTGGCCTATTCTCAATTTATATCCTGCTAATCTTTTCTAGGTAAAAGCTTATGGCCCAGGACTTGAAAGAACTGGCTGCATTGTGAACAATCCTGCAGACTTTGTAGTTGATACAAAGGAAGCTGGGGATGCTCCTCTGAAGATATATGCACAAGTAAGGGCAGAGATCCAAACAGCATTCACTTCTCATCCATATAGCTTTACCCGTAGATTGTTCTACGCATCTTGAATTGTGTGCAAAAATGCTTGGCCGCATTCATACGTTTCTTCTTCAATGTGGTGTGGCCTATAACATTTAAAGAGATCATCATAAGAGCCCTGCCCTGCCCCTTCATCTACTAAGATTTGATTTGAGACATATCCTTATTACAATGATGTGTTTTCTATCACCTCACTAAGAACCAATTTGTACCTCAACCAAGGTAATATAAACCACTTGCTTTGCAAGTGACTAGAATTCATTGATTAAAAGTAGGGCAATTGATGGCTCTTTTGTGATGGTAATGAAGAGGAGTGCAACTAACCATCTTGAAGATGGGGGAGATAAGAGAACTCTTCTGCCACCTGCTTTTTCCATGCATAAGGAGCAGTGTATGTTTGACATGTAATATACATCCTATTTTTAAACAAGTGGAAAAAAAAATAGACTGAAAAGACATTTCCCCAGGACAGTTGGTAGTAAGTGACCCTGGTTGGGGAGGAGATAATCCAGCTGCAGTAGAACAAGCACAAATGTATGATCAGGTTCTCTAAAAGGAAGCCTTAAGTTTACTGGTTGTTAAACTATGTACCTGCCTACCTTTGTATATATGAAAAACTAATGTTAAAACTAAAAAACTGAGTTCATATTTAGCTTGCTCTTCTTTTTTTTAGGATGCTGATGGAAATCCTATTGATATCCAGATGAGGAGCAAGCCTGATGGCATCTATGCCTGCTCTTACATCCCAACAAAACCAATCAAACATACCATTGCTATTACTTGGGGAGGAGCAAATGTCCCTAACAGTCCTTGCAGAGTAAGTACTAAAGTGCTTAAATATCTGTAGCTGCTTGTTTTCCAGTTGCAGTGTGCTTCCTGACACCTTTTGCAATCCCTTGCTTAAATTAACTGATACTTATTTGAAAGCAAAAGCTGAATCCTATTTTTTTGAAATCATTTTTATTAATCATTTTTTTTTAAAAAATGAACAAGCGAAAAGGAAAAAAGAGAAAAAAATTGCAAAGGTATAATATCAGTAACACAACAAAGAAGTTAGAGAAGTTGCACAGTTACTGCTCAGTATATCGTTGATGAAAAATTAACCATAAAAAACAAAATACATTAAATTATTTTTAACAGTAAGGAAAAGGATGTTAGAGATACTTTTGAATCTCTGAGTTGAGTGCCAAAGTCACCACTATTTTGTCATTTAAAGATACCATTAAAAAGAATGAAGAAAAAGTGCTAACATATTATAAATATTTAGTTTTTAGCTTCCTCTTTGTTTATACTCTGACTGATACACAATATTTGTTAACATTTAACATTTTCATGTATTTCTGAATGAATCTTATTTTTAGGAGTCTGAAATGAGGTTATGAATACCCAAATCAAGAATGGGGAAATTAGATGGATTACGATGAAGGAATTGTTTTGGGACCAGGGTTTTTAATTCTTGACCATTAGGAGCTTAGAGTATGAGAGAGCCAGCTTTGGAGATCACACTAAATTACTAAACATGGGTTAAAAGGGACCACAAACAATGAAAACTAGAGGAATTAAAATGGTGAATGTTGTATAGTGTAGGGGCAAGTGCAGACTGAGCAAAAAATGACAATATACTGCCCCAGGCAGTAGATATCCTTAATACCAGTTGATAGATAAGATCAATAGGAGTTCTGTTTGGATTCATGTGGGCTCCTCAGAGGTTTCCAATTGGCCGCTATGGAAATTAAATAATAATTAACTAGGCTACTAGTGTTTCCTGTGTGGCTGAGGCATTGGATTAGGACCAGGAAGACCTAGGTCCCACCCTCAGTTCCCAGAGGATTGTTTTAAAAAAGAGTTCTATGTATGCCATCTTGAGTTCCTGGATAACAGATTCAACAGATACATAAAACAACATATTGAATGACAATAGAAGAAACCTAAAAGATTGTGTGACCAATGTTGATTACCCTAAAGTGTTAATCTGTGTTTATCAAGTTCACATTTTGAAAATATATGCCACCTAGGTCCAGATTGGGCAAGGCAGTCATCCTCAGAAGGTGAAAGTTACTGGACCAGGGGTGGCAAGAAATGGTCTGAAAGCTAACGAACCTACTCATTTCACTGTGGACTGTACAGAAGCAGGCGAAGGTAAAAAAACAGATCTGTATAGCAAATGCTGAATAGTAACCCTCCCCACTGCCCCCCAGCTCAGTAACTGAATGAAGCTGAAATGCTGTTAAAGGAGAATGCTTGACTCCCATAATGTTGCTTCTTTTAGGTGGATGTGTTTTCTCATGGAAGTGGCTGATAGAATAGTGTGTTTAAGGAAGCAAATATTTAAGCAGCAAGGGGTGATATAGGGGTACAACTGTCAATACAATTTCTAGTGGATTGTTTCTTTCTAGGTGATGTGAGTGTGGGCATCAAGTGTGATGCTCATGTAATAAATGAAGAAGAGCAAGATATAGACTTCGGCATCATACATAATGCTAATGATACATTTACAGTGAAATACACCCCTCCTGCTGCTGGGCGCTATACTGTCAAAGTGCTGTTTGCTGGAGAGGTATGTCATTATTGGAAAGGCGTTTGATGCCAACCCTGGTTCCCAATCTCCGTCCCTCAGATGTCTTAGGAGTATGATTTCTAATAATGGGTATAAGACTAAAACCACTGGGAGGGCATCTGGATAAGGAAAACTGAGTTAGCAGTTGTACTGTATTGTGACCATGTCAAATTGTTGAAGTATCTGTATATGGTAGTAACTGAAGTATTTATTTTAATATGTATTCCATTCTTCTACTTTAGTTGCAGCAATAGAATAGCTTACCATACTGAAAATATATACAAATGTGTCAAGTCTTAATAAAAACATGTACTTGAGGCAGACAAGAGCAATCTGACAAAAGTTGGCCTTAGTTTTAATATATACAGTTATTTCCCCAAACCCATTGCAGTTGACCATTTTAAGATTAAAGTGAAATATAGTATGTATTGTTGAAGGCTTTCACGGCCGGCATATGATGGCTGGTGTGGGTCTTCCGGGCTGT